GGAGGGCACCCGTTGGGATGAGCACTGGGTGTTGTATGGAAACCAATTTGACAATAAATTTCATATTAAAAAAAAAAAGAAAAATTAGCTTTAGTCTTTTTCTCAGATAGAGCTAATGGGTTTTTTGAAGAATTTTTAATTACGTTTTTATGAGAGAGTTATGTGTTATAGTTCTTTTATTAACAACGTGTATGATTGTGGTCTATTCATTTAGCCTTTCTGGGACCCATTTTTATCTCGTACAAAATAAATGTTAGCCAATGTTTTTCAAAAAAAAAAAAGACTCCTCTATATGTCACCTTCAAGAGACTCACTTCAGACCTAAAGACATATGCAGATTGAAAAGAAGAGCTAGAAAACCACTTACCATGCAAATGAAAGTGAAAAGAAAGCTGAAGTAGCAATGCTTATACTGGACAAAATAGACTTGAAAACAGACTGTGACAAGAGAAAAGGAAGGACACTAATAATGATAAAGGGAACAATCCAACAAAAGGATATAACAACTGTAAATATTTATGCACTCAACATGGAAGCACCTAAAGCCAGAAAGGACCTATTAATAGGCATAAAGGAATAAACTGACAATAATACGATAATAGTAGGGGACTTTAACACCCCACTTACATCAATGGACACATCTGCCAGACGGAAAATAAACAAGGAAGGAGTAGCTTTGAATGACAGGACTGGCCAGATGGACCTAACAGATATTCAGAACATTATATCCCAAAACAGCAGACTACACAGTCTTTTCAAGTGCACATGGAACATTCTCCAGAATAGATTGCATATTAGGTCACTAACAAATATCGATAAATTTAAAAAGAATGAAATCTTATCATGCACATTTTCTGATCATGACATTATGAAATTAGAAATCAAACAGAATGCAAATATATGGAGGCTAAATAACATGCTACTAAACAATGAATGGCTTAATCAAAAAAATAAGAGGAAATCAAAATACATGGAGACAACTAAAAAAGAAAACACAATGGTCCAAATCTTTGGGATGCAGCAAAAGCTGATCAAAGAGAGAAATTTATAGCAATACAGATATACCTCAAGAAGCAAGAAAGATCTCTAATAAACAACCTAACCTTATACCTAAAGGAGCTAGAAAAAGAACATAGCCCAAAGCCAGTAGAAGGAAGGAAATAATAAAAATTAAAGTAGAAATGAATGAAATAGAGACAACTCCCGCCCCCCAACAATAGAAGAGATCAATGAAACCAGTAGCTGGTTCTTTGAAAAAAATCAATAAAATTGATAAACCTTTTATCAGACTCATCAAGAGAAAATGAGAGAGGACTCAAATAAATAAAATCAGAAATGAAGAAGGAGGGCTGCCTGGGTGGCTCAATCAGTTAGGCTTCTGACTTCGACTCAGGTCATGATCTCGCGGTTCATGAGTTCGAGCCCTGTGTTGGGCTCTGTGCTGATAGCACAGAGCCTGGAGCCTGTTTTGGGTTCTGTGTCTCCCTCTCTCTGCCCCTCCCCTGCTCATTCTCTGTCTCTGTCTGTCTCTCTCTAAAAAATAAATAAAACAGGGGCACCTGGGTGGCTAAGTTGGTTAAGCGTCTGACTTTGGCTCGGGTCATGATCTTGTGGTTTGTGGGTTCGAGCCCCGTGTTGGGCTCTGTGCTGACAGCTCAGAGCCTGGGGCCTGCTTCAAATTCTGTGTCTCCCTCTCTCTGCCCCTGTCTCTCTCTCTATCCCTAGAAAAATTTCAAAAATCAATCAACATGATACATTAGTAAGAGAAAGGACAAAAACCATATGATCATCTCAATAGATGTAGAAAAAGCATTGAGAAAGTACAACATCCATTCATGATAAAAACTCTCAGCAAAGTAGGTTTAGGGGGAACATTTCTCAACATAATAAAGACTATATATAAAAAACCCACACTAAAATCATACTCAGCAGTGAAGTACTGAGAGCTTTTCCTTTAAGATCATAACAAGATAAGGGTGTCTGCTCCTACTGTTTTTATTAAATATAATACTGAGAGTCCTAGCCACAGCAACCAGGCTAAAATAAATAAATGGCATCCAAATTAGTAAGTAAGAAGTAAAACATTCAGTATTTGCAAATCACAGAATACTATATATAGTAAACCTTTAAAACACCACCAAAAAACACTAGAACTAATAAATGAATTCAGTAAGGTCACAGGATACAAAATCAATTTACAGAAATCTATTACATTTCTGTATACTAATAATGAAGTATCAAAAAGAGAAACAAAGAAAAAAATCCCATTTATAATTGCATCAAAATGAACAAAATACTTAGGAATAAACCTAACTATAAAACATTGATGAAAGAAATTGAAGATGAGACAACAAATGGAAAGATAGTCCATGCCCTAGGACTGAAAGAATTAATACTATGAATATGTCCACACTACCCAAAGCAATCTACAGAGTCAATGTAATTTCTATCAGAAGACAAACAACACTTTTGGCAGAACTAGAACCAATAATCCTAAAATATGTATGGAACCTCAAAGATAGCCAAAGACAGCTTGAGAAAGAAAAATAAAGCTGGCACTTCAAATTCCAAGTTTTAAGATATATATAAAGCTGTAGTAATTGAAAACAGTATAATACTGGCACAAAAATAGACACACAGATCAACAGAACAGAATAGAGGGCCCAAAATTAACACACACTTGTATGGTCAATTAATCTACAACAAAGAAGGCAAGAATTTACAATGAGGAGAAGACAGTTTCTTCAATGAATGGTTCTGGGAAAACTAGATAGCTATAGGCAAAAAGAATAAAATTGGACCACTTTCTTACACCACACACAAAAATCAGCTCAAAATGGATTAAAGATATAAATGTAAGACCTGGGGGTGCCTGGGTGGCTCAGTCAGTTGAGCATCCAATTCTTGATTTTGGTTCAGATAATGATCTCAGGGTTGTGGGATCGAGCCCTGTGTTTGGCTCTGTACTAAATATGGAGCCTGCTTGGGATTCTCTCTCTTCCTCTCTCCCACTCCTCCCGCTCATGCTCTCCCTTTCTCACTCTAAAATATTAAAGAAAAGTGAGATCCAAAACCATAAAATCCCCAAAGAAAATACAGGCAATAATTTCTTTGACTGCAGCCATAGAATCATGTTTCTAGATATGTCTCCTCAGTCAGGGAAAACAAAATCAAAATTAAACTATTTGGGACTAATCAAAATTAAAAGCTTTTGCACAGCAATGGAAACCATCAACAAAACCAAAAGGCAACCTACTGAATGGGGGAAGATATTTTCAAGTGATATATCTGATTTTGGTATATCCAAAATATATAAAGAACTTATATAACTCAACACCAAAAACCCCCAAATAATCTGATCAAAAAATGGGCAGAGGATTTGAACTGACATTTTCCAAGGCAGACATACAGATGGTTGATATAGACATGAAAAGATGCTCAGCATCACAAACCGTCAGAGAAATGCATATCAAAACCACAAAGAGATATCACCTTAAACCTGTCAGAATGGCTGACACAAAAAACACAAAAAATAACAAGTGTTGGCAAGGATGTGGAGAAAAAGGAACCTTCATGCACTGTTGGTGGAAATGCAAACTGGTGCAACCACTATGGAAAGCAGTATGGTGGTTCTTCAAAAAATTAAAAATAGAATTACCATGATTTAGTAATTTCACTAAAGGTAATTTGCTGAAGGAAAACAAAAACATGGATTCAAAAGATGTATGTACCCCTATGCTTACTGCAGCATATTTACAATAGCCAAGATGTGAAAGCAACCCAAGTGTCCATCAACAAATGAATGGATAAAGAAGGTGTCATACACACACAGAATGGAATATTACTCAACCACAGAAAAGAATAAGACCTTGTCATTTGCAACAACATGGATTAACCTAGATGGTATAATCCTAAGTGAAATAAATCAGCCAAAGGAAGACAAATACCATATGATTTCACTCATATGTGAAATTTAAGAAACAAAACAAATGAACAACAACAATAAAAAGATCAGCAAAATACCAGACTCTTAAATACAGAAAAGATACTGGTGGTTGTCGGAGGGAAGGTGAGTAGGGGAATGGGTGAAATAGATAATGCAGATTAAGAGTACACTTATCTTGATGAGTACTAAATACTCCTCAGAACTGCTGAATCATTATACTGTATACCTGAAACTAATATAATGTATTTTAATTGTACTTCAATAACAAAGATAAAGAAAAAACATGTCACCTGCAAAATGTGACAGGAAGTTTTTTCTCTAAAAGTACTTCTTGACAAATAGAGCAGATATCATCTGAACCAATTTCCTTCTGTTTAATGTACCCATCTTCTTCAATATGCACAGTTTCATCATTTGTTCCTTGTTGTGGAGTTTGAACTCGATGTATCCCTCGAAGCAAGTCACTGATTTCTCTTTCCACAAGACCTAACTGCAAAGCACCTATGAAGAATCCCAAAGTATTAAAATTCAGTGGCAAAATTAGAGATACAGAAATGTAAATAACTTATGCTGAAAGTTAGAATTTTCTTTCAAATATCAGAAACACAGTTTTGATTGAATTGTTACACTGAGATTTACCACTTCTTGTATTTTTTTTCAGAACCAAAAGGTCAAGAAAGAGTCATTGATAAAAAGAATGGGAGGTGCCGGGTGGCTCAGTTGGTTAAGCATCTGACTTCAAATTAGGTCATGACCTCACAGTTCATGGGTTTGAGCCCCATGCCAGGCTCTGTGCTGATAGCTCAGAGCCTGGAGGCTGCTTCAGATTCTGTGTCTCCCTCTCTCTCTGCCCCTCCCTGACTTGTTCTCTCTCCCTAAAAAATAAATAAACATAAAAATAAATGAATGGAAATTATATTTTTTTTCTTATAACTGAAAAGAGTCAGTGCAAATGTTGCATTGTAAAGGTTTTGCATTAATTATATGACAGTGTTCATCCTTGGATTGGTGTTATAATCATGTCTTAGATTTTAATCTGTTCAATTTGTCCACAAATAATATTTTATCAACATACCACCAAAAGAAATGGACACAACTACATAACGGGGAAACAGGGATATTTGAGTAGTTAGTGAAATTAGTCTTTGTTAGATGAATAATGAATGAATAGATAACAGGAGAGCAAGACTCAATTGTAACTACTCTCCTGTCTTGGTTTTCAGTTTTTACAAGAGTGTCTTGGTAGCCACATCTTTCACAGATTTGGTTAGTATTCTTCTGAATAATCTATTTGGAACTATGTTGCTTATAATCTTGGGATGTGCATTCTTTGAATTATGAATTTTCTCCATCCTACTGTCCTTATAAGAAATCGTTTCTAATACATTTAGTTTTGATCAGGGAATCCTAGATTCTTTATTCCTTTCTCCATCCCAGGCTCCTTTCCTTTTCTCTCTCCTTAACATGCCATAATTTAAATGCCATCTGTTATTGGTCCTCTTGAATTCTATTCATTTTATACATTCTTTAATACATTTAATACATTATTTAATAAATTTTAAAATACTTGCAAGATAATAAAACCTTCATTTTTTCTGGAAAGACTTCAAAATTAAACACTAAGAATACTGAAAACATCATAGAACAATATAGAAATCTCTGTTCCTTGCATGAGGTGGGGTGGCAGGTGGAATGTAAGAGGGTAACATAATTTAATTAACCATTACTTTGGAGGATGAGAGCTATTTGTCACAGAGACAGAGCAACATCTGCTCTCTAAAAAAGACAGGGAGGAAAATGAAGAACAAAAACTGTGCTTTTGGGAATAAAGATTTCCTAGGGCAGCAGAATTATTGAAACATAAAAGTTCATAAGAGGAGCTGGCCATAAATGTCTTATGTGGTATAACATGAATTGGAAAATGAAAGGCAGAAACAAACTCTTCTGAAATTAATTTAAAAAATTAATGTATGAGACTATGAAAGAATATTCTTTTATAGAGAAGAGCAAGACAGCTAATCTTATCAGAGGGCAATGGAAGATGTTCAACTTCATTAACATAAAAGAAAATTAGTTAAAATAAGAATGATACACAGACACAGAATAAAACCTATTGAATAAGCAATAGTAAATCAATGAAATGTTATGTTTGTTTGCCTTATGTCATTTCTTTTTGCATTTAAAAAAGTTATATGAAGATACTTTAGACCTTCTAAGGGTATGTTAGATGTATGGAAGAATGGAAATTTATTTAATTTGCCAGGAACGAACAGATTACAGTGAACCTTGTAGCTGGCATTTTTTTGTGTTCTGTAGGACAGCCTTTTTTTCCCCTACACTATAGAAATATTATTAACATTTGAAAATATTTCTTCATATTTTTAAATTATTTTCTTTGGGGACTTAAGTATTCTGTTCATGTCTTTCATTATGTGCTTAAGTAATAATATGTACCTAAAACACGAATCTCAAACCAAACCTAGCAGAAAATTGACAGGTAGCTGAAACTGCAAATCAGCAAAAGTATTTTAAGACCAATTTGGCAATACATCTGGTTGGCAGACATAAAAATTTTAATACTTTTACTCCAAAATCTGATTAATGAGACATTAGGCTAAACAAATGATTGAAAGAAGAGAAAGCTTCATGTACAAAGAATATGACAAACAGAAATAAATTAAATGCCTAACAACAGAATAATGTTAACTAAATTATGATATACCATATTTAGCCACTGATGACTTTAATTACAGAGATTACACAGCATAGAAAATGGGTATAAAGTAACAATGTGTGATAAAAGCAGAGGACAAAATTCCCATGCACTATTAGACATACATAAATATAAAGTAATAAAGGAAAATGGGAGCAAAAAAGTTTATTGTATCTTTGTAGTGGGAATTTAAAAATTTTTTTCTTAAACATGGTTCTTAATTTATTTGTAAATATTTAATTAAAAAAAGGAACGGATGGCATTTACTAGACAAAAAGAAAAAGAGAAAATGGAGGAGAAGAGGGAAAAAAATCTAGTTTATACTTTGGGTTTTGACTACTGTTAGCATTGGAACTTTTAGAATCTCCCTTATAAAAGAAGAGAGGGGAGTTGGATAAACTAAAAGTTTCTCTAATGCCAACGTTTATAAAACAAAGAGAAGGATACGTTTTTGACTCTTAGCTATTTTGTCCCTCAGCTCTCTATTAAAAAGTAAACTATAAAAAAAATAGACATTATCTTTAGAAGAAACTATTAGGTGATAAATGTAGGCTTTGCTGGAAAACATTTATTGGGTGATGGGAAAAATAATGCTCCATGTTCAAAAACTGATGTCTTTATAATAAAATTCCTTTGTAATCATCTTTGTAAATGTTCAAAAATAAAAGTCAATTGTTTTTGATATGCAACACTAGAGCGCAAATATTTGTTTCCTGATTTGTTTTAGAAGGATCTAGGAATGATATTCAAAACACTCTCATAATCCAAATGAATAATCATTTATAGCTTTCTTTAAATTAATTTAAATCATCTATGTTTCTTCCAGCTTTCATTAAAAAATTTTTTCTTATGCTTATTTATTTCTGAAAGAGAGAGAGAGAGAGAGAGAGAGAGAGAGCGCAAGCAGGGGAGGGGCAGAGAAAGAGAGAGAGGCAAAGAATCCAAAGCAGGCTCCAGGCTCTGAGCTGTCAGCACAGAGCCCTACACAGAGCTTGAACCAATGGACCGTGAGAGCATGACCTGAGGCAAAGTCGGTTACTCAACGGACTAAGCCAGCCAGGCACCCCCATTCTAGCTTTCATTTACATGATAAATTTTAAGATGATTAAGACTTCTACTTTTTTGAATATTTGTGCAAATAGGATTCTCTCAATGTTGACCAAAACTTCTTTTAAATATAGAGATATGAAAGAGCTTTTATTTTTGTAGGAAGTATATATTATTCAAAATTAACATTTAGGATTAAACATTAAAAAACATTTAAAAAAATTCCCAACCATAGGCTGATATTTATAAAAAGAACAAGACACAGTTTCTGCCTTTAAGAAATAAAAAGGATAACAGAATATTAACTATTAGGTTAATCCATATGAAATTGCTACTTTTGGAAATGAAAAACTCCACAAATGTTAGTATTCATTTTTCAATTCATAAAGAAGTATCTAACAGAGGCTCCTGGCTAATACATAGTACAATAGATGTTTGTTGAATTTGGTTGTATAGAGCTGCACTGTAATAAGAGTAGCCATTAGCCACATGTGACTACTGAGCACTTGAAATATGGTTCATGTGACTAAAAAACTAAATTTCTAATTTTGTTTCACTTAAATTTAAATTGAAAACTCATAATATATAGTTACTGAAAAATTTGTAAGTATGTATATGTAACAATTTAGCTATTACATGAATCTATTTTTCAACTGAGTATTTTATAAAATCTAAATGCAGATCAAATATTTCCATTGAAAATATAGTGTCTAGATGAGATGCTCTGTAAGTATAAAATACTAAGACTTTGAAGACAGTATCAAAAATATTGCATATTTTTATATTGATTACATGTTGATATGGTAATATTTTAATGTATTAGATTAAATTAAAATATATTATTAAAATTAACTTTCCCTGTTTCTTTTTGCTCTTTGTAATATGGCTACTAGAAAATTACATATGTGGCTTGCATTATATTTCTATTGGACAGCACTAGTATGGAAGCTTGTGAAAATGGTATGTAAAACAGTGTAGAGAACAAGTAAGATTTGGAGAGGACGTGAGCACTTAACTTCAGGTGGATAAAATGAAGAAATAGAGAAATAAACAGTGTATACAATATCAAACAACCCAATCATTGTGTATGAAGGGATTGGAAGAGAGGATGAAGTAGAGAACTAAGTGACATTCCAGAAAGAACCTTTTGTCTACAATGTGGAGAAGGAAGAAACCAAGTGCAGGCACCGAAAAGAAACAGGCTCTAGAATACTATGAAGGGCTGATGAAGGTTGGACAAAGGTGAGAATGAGAATGGAGAGATGAAAACACCGTTGAGAAGGAGGTAGGATGTAACATGAATGGGATTTATGAAATGACTCCTTAGACAGGAGAGAGGAAATTGGGAGAGGAAAAATCAAGGAGAATCCTATGGTTTCTAGTTTTGCAGACTAAAGAAAAAGGAAAGCCAATATATGAGGTAGGGGATACAAGAGGGGCGCACAAATGGGGGGGGAAATTTGGTATTTAAAATGCCTGTGGGACCTCCAAATCTGAGCTGCCCCGAAGGCAACTGAAAATAGTGCTCTGTTGATAAGAGAATGTGTAAAATGAGAGAAGAGTACAAAAAAAAGTGTCTGTGAAACACTAATATTAATTTATTATCTAGTACAACTTTTAAATGTTTACTGTGATTACCATAATGACAATACCTTTTTTATAAAATCTATAAATCCAAATGACCTATAACAAAATTAATTTCTTTCTCTTTTAATTTTGAGGACTCTAGAACTTAAAGTTACATACCTATATGCTTGACTCTAAACTCAATTTAAGTACTGTCATAAAAACTATTTTACTCTTAAAAACATGTATTTATATTTTTTACATACAAATTTCAGTTAGTAGATATTTTTGAATGAAATTATGTTCCATGTCAACTATTACTGTGATCTAAAAAATTACATTTCTGATTTTTTTTATAATTAAAATAATTTTACGCCTAGAAACCACTGTGAATCTTTGCTTAGCACACATGAAGGAAATTTTGCCTTCAGAATAACTAGCCATTGTTTCATCCCTTTTTTTATTAAGTGCCCCTGAATTTGAAATGACATATAAAGTTACATTTTTTTATTAAGGAAGAAAAATGTTCCAAGTGTCTTAATTGCAACAAACTGAGCTACAGATAGTTGTCAGATTGTCTAGGAAAATAATTGTTTAAATTTAGAATATGTCTAAACAAAAAATTATTAAATATGTTAACTTCAAAATAATAAAAGAAGAAATGCAACTTACATTCATGATTCCTTGGAAGTTTGAATTTTTTCAACAAGACCCTAGTATTCACAGGTGGAAAACCAAAAGAAATATTTATTTATGATATAACCTAAAATGATATATTTTAATATTAGGAGTAGCATTATAGAATTTATATTGCTGATGGTGTTATAAATATACTTAACACTCTCATCAGTTTTCTGTTATAATGATAAGTAGTTAAATGTTAACTGTACTGAAATTAAAATAAAAAATTCATACAAAAACAGTCGTTAAATAAATGTTTTAAAGTAAGCATATGTGAAAAAAGTATGATAAATGAAAATAAAAGACATTTATAATAAAGAGATTTGCCAGAAAGAGTCCATGTATTTCTTTATAACATACATTTATTCACAGAGACAGGTTAGTAAAGGAATGAGATAGTCATTGTAATTCCTTTAAACTTCCCTAGAAGTTTCTTAGTCCTGAAAATGGAGTAATTTTCTGGAGAGTACCAATACTGTTTTCCTACATATACCACTTGAATGTATGACAGAAAAAATACTTCAAATATCGCCAATTGAAATGGAATATGACTTTTTTTTTTTTTTAATTTTGTTTTCAACGTTTATTTATTTTTGGGACAGAGAGAGACAGAGCATGAACCGGGGAGGGGCAGAGAGAGAGGGAGACACAGAATCGGAAACAGGCTCCAGGCTCTGAGCCATCAGCCCAGAGCCCGACGCGGGGCTCGAACTCCCGGACCGCGAGATCGTGACCTGGCTGAAGTCGGACGCTTAACCGACTGTGCCACCCAGGCGCCCCGAATATGACTTTTTTAAAAGCTGAGAAATACATAAAAAATTCTTACTTAAATATATTAAATATAGTTTAGTATATTAAATATTTGAATTATATTTCCATTTAGTTTGGTTAATATATTGTAAAAAACAAGTAACATTATATAGAAATCAGAACAGAAGGCCCTTGCCCTGAGGAAGCTGGCATTAAAAAAATGAAAAAAAAACTATTTTAATAAACATAATTTATTATTTTTAATAATAAAACCAAACTGCAAGTTTTTAAAGGACCATATTTTATATCTTCTATGCTAACTAGAGTAAATTGTGTTAGCAATGCTCAATAAAAACTGATCAAAACAAAACAACAAAAACTTGGTAATACAAGCTTTGGAAATGAAGGTATATACTTTTTTTTTTTAACTTATAAAGAAAAGCATTCAAAATGTGAGATACATATTCTTCTCTCAATTTTTTGTTAGATTTGTTTTACCCTCCAATTTCAGTCACAAATATTCTATAATAATATAATTCATGATTTGTTCATATAAATACAGATAGGTAAAACAAAATGAGTTGGAAGAATGAAAAAATGGAAAGAAGGGAAAGAATTCCAGACTAACTCCAAACACTAAATTAAAACAATTTTTTAAAAATTTTTCATTTTTGGGATTTCCCTGTAAATAGGTTCTGTCACTAGAGGAAAACTTTCAGATTCAACAGAAGTAATTCTCAGGGTAGTCCTATTACTATCTTAAAAGATTCATAGTAAAATGCTTATTGAAAATAAAAATAATACATTAGAAAATATCATAATTAAAAAAATAATGAGGGGCACGTGGGTGACTCAGTCGGTTGAGTGGCCGACTTTGGCTCAGGTCATGATCTAACAGTTTGTGGGTTTGAGCCTCGTGTCTGGCTCTATGCTGACAGCTCAGAGCCAGAGCCTTCAGATTCTGCATCTCCTTCTCGTGCTGTACCTCCCCCGCTTGCACTCTGTCTCTCTCTCTCAAAAATAAATAAACATTAAAGAAATTGAAGAAAATAATAAAAATAATAAAAATTTAAAAAACATAACGAATTTTTTGTTATTAAATGATTTGTTGTACTACATTTACAAAGAAAACAAACAATGCACCCAGTAGAAAGTATAAAAATAAAAATGTATTCGGGAATTTATTTTTAACTGACAGCAAATAGAAATCCTATAGTGAGAACATAATTATTATTATTGACGTGAATCAGGGAGGTTTTTATTTTTCTGTTTTATAGTGAGATTTCACATTTGTACATAAGATTCTTAGATAGTAAGAATTTAAAAAGTGATTTTTTAAATTATAAACATGAACTTTTAAAACTTGCAGAGGTGGTAGTATGTTTCTCAAGTTAAACTTTATTTAATTTTCAGAATGAAATAAAATACCCCAAAATATACTGAAAAACTACAGCCATTTTACCCTTATATCTCCCAACAACAAATTTCTATTACCTTCAGTATTCAAATCATGAAAAAGGCAACATACCAAGATGTTCCTTTGTGGCAGATCTTGATTACAGAGTTACTTACCAGCATATATGCTTACAAAGTTCCCCTCCTTTCAGAAATGTGGAACAGTTACAAACATGAGGATTTCCTAAGAAAACCTTTAAAAGAAAAATGCATACTTAAAAAAAAAAACCCTCCAGTTAATTTTTAGAGTTAGAATAAAAATAATTTAATAGCTGATAGGATTAAAAGAGATTTCAAGAAGTAATTTAGTTTAGGTGACTTCAAACGTTGAATATAGTCTATGGAGACATCTTAACTCTTGACACCAGTCTCCAGGCTGATTTTTCACTGTCATATTGTCTTGCTCAATAACTTGTATTATCACTTAAGACTTCTTCAGTGACCTACACTCAGGCAAGTGAAAAGAAATCTAATTTTAAAAGCTAAAAAATATCTCTGTATCGATACATTTCTTAATGAAAGTTCATTCTGCCTTGCAGTGGAGCTAAAGACTTTTTGTAAATTAGCTTATTTTGGATCTTTTGTTTGTTTTGTACACTTAATTGGTATATAATTTTACTTGAGAAGACGAATTTTATTCACCAAGTTTATATTGGCTAAAATAATTTTTTAACTAAGTGTTCTAAGGGACAAAGTAAAAAAAAAAAAAAGATGTCTTAAATAAGCACAGGCTAGTAATTTGTATTCAGTACTTAGAATGCAGGACACTAAATTAAAATTTTCCAAATCAACACCCGGGAGGTGGGATGGTGGCTGATTTTTGAGTGGCAAGAGTGGGTTATGCAAATATAAAATATCTTTTTTTTCAGGTTTTTATTAAGACCTTTCCAAGGCATCGCCACCTAAACGGTACTTTAAAAGGATCTTCTTGGAGGTTTAGAGTGACTAAAGAGTAAAGAAAAACAGATTTTATTTATTTAGTATTTACAGTATGAAATAGGTCGTAGGATTTTCATTTCGTTTTAGTTACAGGGCTCGTGACTGCCAACAACGGATCCAAGAACGCACGCAACGCAAAGCATGTATTTAAGTAAAACGTCTCACATTTTCAAGCCTAAACGTCAAGCAGGTGCCATCATCTTACAAGATTTGGATGCCATTTTGGAATCCTGACTTCCCAAAATTAAACTTTTCTATGAAAACACGACTTCCCTCTGCAATTTGCACATCTTTAGAGTCTGGATCTCGCGCGGGTGGGTTGGGTGTGGCAGGGAGAATCCGCAGGGATTGTGAAGGCGGCTAGAAATAAGGAAGGTCCAGGAGGACCGGGTGGGTGGGCCGGGCGGGAGTGGAGGCAAGTTGGGGGTGGTAATTACTCGGAAATCCCTGTTTTCCGGCTCCTCCTCCCTCAGCAGGAAGCCGGTGGGGCCCATCTCTCGTAGGAGGTAGATGCTGCCGCTCAGCGCCAAGTCCTGTTGCCAGCTGAGGTGGTTGCTCAAGTGTCTTCGCCTTTCAGAGGCTTTACAGCCTCGGCGAAGCATCTTGCTTGGGTGAGGGCGAAGGCAGCTTCTCTACGAGACTCTCCGAGTGCCCGCCGGTTTCCATGACAACCGCGTGCCGGCCGGTTGCCTTGGTGATAAAGGTTGAGCTTCCTGATATCCCAGAGTGCCTTGGGGCCAAGCTATAGCTGGCAACCAAAGGGCAAGGGGTGGAGAGTGGATTCCGCAGCTCAGAGCCGCCTCCGCTCGTTCCTGAAGCCAGGTTCCTGGCTGGGAAGCGTTTCTAATACCCCGACCTGCCCAACTTAAAAGGTGGCGGCTAAAGACACAGCTGTCAAATCTCTCGTGTTCCTTTTGCTGGTTCCCTGCAGGCAGGGCTGGTAAATTATGTGTGTTAGGACAGTCGCACGAGCGGGTTACTGTTTGGGCTCTGCGTGCTCAAATTTTCCTGTGATGATTCATCATCTTTATCAGAAACCCCAGAGTAACTTTTTGTTCAACAATATTCCACCATTTCCAGAGTGCTCACTATATGCATAATCTGAGCGAGTCGCTGGGGAAAGAAAAGACAGGAATCTAATCCCTAGGGAGCTAGATCCTTAAATCCGGACGTGTGCAGGGTGTGGGCGGGTTTGGTTTTAAAGCCAGAGGAGCATTTCTAAATTGAATATTTAGATAGGG